TTTAGTGAGTAAACAAAATCATTTCAAGCTGATACATTATTGAAACACATGTTTTATTGTTGATGGGTGACATTTATTGTTTACAATTCTAAGTATTTAGTTTTGTTTTTCACCTTCATCAATAAGTACACCGGTACCGTAGAACCCCGGCATATATGGATAATATTTTTTTTTTTCGATCCCGATGTTGAGTGTTGGTAAAATGGGTAGGCAAAACCGGGCCGGGGCAAATTAAAAACCGGGGCTATTTGAGATTTTTTAATTTTCTGCCGTAATACTTTATCAATCCAGCTGAAATTTTCAGATTATGTTTGTTAAAGGTTTATTTGTATTCGATATGAAAATTGCCTTGAAATACTCAGTATTTTAGATTTCTTTGGCGATTGTTGATTTCCAAGTTGGTAAAATGGGTAGGCAGTTACCAAAGTCAACATTTTACGTTTTCAGACATATTTGACGAAAAGTCAATACAGTTATGAATCATTCTGATATCTAAGATTATATATTAACTATAAATTAGTATATCTTCCTTGGTAATTGTTATTGCTGCGTAAAATTACACGTTTTAAGAAAAACCGGGTCATTAAAACCGAATCCGATCACCCGGGGACAAACCTGAAAAATCCGGAATAATTGTACAGGTTACATTACAGTACGAGAGATTGTCACCTGAAAAAAAAAAAAAAGAACTTAATCCCAATTATTTGTTGGTAGCTTTTATTTCATTTTTATTGATATAAAAAATCATTTAAGGAAAGTTCGAATAATTATATGAATATTAATGCAGACTACTATGCCAGGCTATGCCAGGCTTTAATTTAATCACACATAAGCTGGCTTGATCAATTTAGACTAAGCAGAAGTGGCTTACCTTATTAAGTTAATTATCTTTGTAAGAGGAAGCTGGGAAGGAAATAGCTGTGATGTAAAAATAATTAAAAGATCAAAGTGACATCTTTTGACAATTATACTATAATGAGTTGAATCATAGTATTATTTGGGTACAAAATATTTCGTGAGAAATTCAACTTACCTACAAATGTGAGGGTATTTTCCACACAATATCGTAATCTGTATTACAAACAAAGCCATCAGACGAATTTCACATTTACAAAAGTATTTCCCTTTGCGGGGTCAATTTGGGGTCAACCGGCGTAAGACACCGTTTTCCCTCTATAACATTACAACTTTTGGGGGCAAAATCTCTCAAATTAAATCTGTTTGAATATGTTCATTGTGTTTTTTATGTTGCCCTATACTAAGGTAATTCAGGAACGGGTCAAAATTGACAGGTTGAAGGTTGAACATATTTACAGGTAAGTTACAAAGGACATAGTGACAAAAATGAGTGTTACGCCAACAACGGGAGATAACTCTTAGGAATGTGAAATTCATCTATGTAAGCAAGATTCAGTTAGAGAACAACCTCTTCTTACAGATTTCAACAAAAAATCTCAGATTAATCCTCATTAATCACCTGCACCAGACTCTTTTATACACACAAAATAAATTCTACCTCAAACCACGGGTATAAAACAGAGTACATTTCAAAAGTATATTTTTTGTAAGCATTTTGAACATGCTGAATTTCAATCAAGGGTACGTAAGCGATGTATCTTTAAAATATTCAGACATACAAGACTTAAAAAACCTTTAACGACCCGTGAATTTTGCATTTTACATGCAATTTGAAATAAAGTGTAAAATTCATGACACTTTCACCGTCATAACACCTCAAGTTGGCACTGACTTAACGTCATTTTCCATTATGACATCATATTTTGGTAGTTCAGAGAAGTGAAGGCACAGAGTGCACTGTGATTTTTTTTTATGGGAAGCCTTAACCTACCTGCGTAATTAATTAAAAAAAATAATATTTTATATTTTGATAATAAATCATGTTCAGTTTTGGTGGGCAATGCGGAGCAAAACGCAACAATTCCTTGAAAATAAATAATAGATAGTTTTCATATGACGTATTTTCTCTCCGAGTTATTTACCTTAGCCGCCATCTTTCTGGTCAACCTGGTAATTTTTCCTCTTTGTCTTACCAAACCTAAGATCTTTATAGAATAAAAATGATGAAATAAAGGAGGCTTTAACAAATGTATATTTTTCAGAAAAACAATGCGTCCTACCCCACAATGGCTAGTATAAAAAGTTAAAGTTGGTTGAATAATGAAGGAATACGAGATGTTGACCTCCAATATGGCGGTCAACGGGAAATAACTCTTGCTAATTTGGGCCTACTGAAAACTATAATATAAATAAATAAATAAATAAATAAATAAATAAATAAAAAAGGTCATCAGATATGGGCCTAATTATTGAGGAGGCATATCTATAAAGTAGCTTTACTTTCGGGCATTTTTTTTTTTTTTAGTTTTTTTTAAAGCCTTTCTTTTCCGGAATAAAATATGTCTCAAACTTTAAATTCAGTTTTTAATACCAAATTTGTGATTTTTTTATTTTTCAAATTTTCAGATACAATACAATCTCAAAGTATAAGTAACGGATACAATGCTTTTTACCATCATTTTATCATTTGGAAAGTGTTTCCTTCAATATGAATCGTATTCCAACCGTACCAGGCATAAAATACAGGATACTTTTACTTTCTTGAATGCCACATTATCACCTGGCGACATTAGGAGATTAACGAGGCCGAGTCTTATTCGAGTGCGCATAACTTTGCGCAGTTTTCTAATTTCATGCAGTCATATTTGCGACATTACACCTTTCCCAAATATTGTGATTTTAATACAAAATTAACATTAGCTGTAACACCTATGGTCTGAAATTGTGCTTTTGCGACAATAATTAGGAAAAAACCGCTGAAATGGCTCTAACGACGTCACTGTTTTCCGATTTTGTAAGCAATGCAAGACGCTGAAGAATGACACCTGACTCGCTTGTATATTCAAGACGTCCATGAATATTTGACTAAAAACTGCTGACAAAACATCAAAAGAAACATCCTAGCAATCTAAACATTGCCATTTTTTTTACCAAAATAATTCATCTGCGCCGATAATTCATCTGCACCGATTTTAGAGGTATTGGGCATTGAAAAAATAAATATGTAATAATTCCTACACCAACCTATAGCTAGATGGTCAACTTTTTTGAAATTTCACAGTTTGATGAGTTTTTACAATAGTTTTCATATACTTGGCTGAAAAAGAAATCTCTAGGGCAGAAATACAAAAAATATGGAAAAATGTGATAATTTGGCGCTTTTCCAAAAAATTCCCATAGGGTCCAATAGTAAAATTTGACAACTTTTGAGATGGCCTCCTAAGAAATCGGGACGGTAAACATTCGATTTTTAAATCTTAAAACAATGAATATAATAGTTAAGATTAATTCAAGAAAAATTTAACAAAATCTCTAGGGTACAAATAATTAGACCCGGCCTCGTTAAATCAAAGTTTGGTAATGTAACGTTATTAGGCATTATAATTTTTTGAAACATTTCAAGAAAAACTGTTATGAAAACTATTTTATTTAATCAACTATTCAACTTATCTTTTCACAAAAAAAATCAATTACATGTAAGTGTAACCTATCGGAATTTGCGACAGTCAGGTGCTTAAAAATCCCTATATGCCATATTTAATACCTCCGTGTGGTTTGTACACTCCATTTTTCTATTTCCGCACTATAGTTTAAATATTCATGGGTTCATTTGGAGGAAATTTATCTTTATCACCTCACTAATTTTTATACTTTACACCCCAGTGACATCAATATATTTGATTGCATAAAGTATATTGGCTATAGCATGTCATTGGTACTAAGCATGTAGTAAACATGAGTTGAAACCTTCTGTTTATATTGGACAAATCTATTATGCGTTTCAAATAGCTCATATTCATAGAAACGCCCATACCTAGCCTTTACACACTTGCGTTCCTTCAATTCTTTTCTCAGAAAGCCAATACGCCTTTGGTATACAGAGGAGGTTATACGAAAAGTTAAGAAATGTCCACTGGACGAGACAGTTTTTGCTCTGTGCTTGCATAACATATGATACATTACATACTATGGAATTTTTTGTCTGGGAGCTTCATTTATAAACAAAATACAACCGCTTTTCGTAGATGTAAAGATTTCATGGCCATGTCTAGACTAACATTTCTACAATTCATATCCATTAGTATTTTAGTATCTCTTTCGGTGTTCGGAAGGGAAGTCACTTTTAAATTCGAGCACTTTATTTCTATCGTTGACACTATTTCAGAGGAATTATTTGAATTCAATAGAGTTAGTCTTGTGACGTGTACAATTAAGTGTGCCATCAACTGGGCTTGTGTGACCTTATTGTATAGCCCGAAAATTAAATCCTGTAAAACATTACGAGAGTATATTAATGGAAACTTCACAAACTGTTCCAAAGAGTCTGGAGATTGGAAATATTACACATTTCCATATGGTAAGTAATAAAAATCATGTATGTTTGTACTTTGTTTTTCTTTATAATTGATGTAACATGCAACATTATACTTTTAAAGCGTCCACCTGTTTGGAGTTACATACTCGTGTTCCAGCTGTATCAGGCGTGTACAGAATTTACCCATGGGGAGACAGACAGAGACCTGTAGACGTATACTGTGATATGAAGACACAGGGAGGGGGATGGACGGTTTGTTCACAACTAAATGATATCAATTTATCAATTTTTTATCGGAATGTAGATACGGGTTACATGGTCATGTTATCAAATCCCTTAAACAAAGCCCGAAGGGTTTACGGTAGACTGGATCATGTACCAACCCGTATTTACATACCGATAAAAGTTTAAAATGATACCTTGTTACTTATATTTGCATTATTTTGTGACTGATTTATAACAAATACTTGAGTACTATAGTTTTAAACCCATGAAATTATTTATTTTTTCAAACCTTAACGGTATGAATTGAATGTGTTGAACACGTCGACCACTTATGATGTCACTATGAAATTACGTCCATGGTTAATGATTGAACAGTGACTTTATGGCATGTGACAAACCTATTTATACACAGGTTTAAATACGCCTTTTTCAAATATAGTGTTATATAAGGGAAACATTTGCAAATGTAGATCACACAGTTGTCATCCTGGACGTTTGCTTGCGCTATTTCGTTGTCATCTGAAGGGAGACAATACAGTTGTCACCCTGTGCGTGAGGGAGACATGCTTTAACCCAATCAGATTGAAGGTATTATTTCAGAAAATAATAAATTTGAACGGTGACGTTTTGCAATTTATGTTATCTATATTATGTCATATAATATTGATACTTGTCGTCATGTTTTGTCTGTGCGTCATTCTATTATGACATCACTAATAAAAGTTTTTACACTTGCTATTGTTTTAACTGCCTTGGACATCAATGCATTGGCCAATTAAAATGCAGAAATTGAAACAGTTGCATAAGAATCGCCGCTTTTTTCATATTCTATCCAAACATTTTCTTCAGTCTCATATTTTGGTTCACTATATACATTGTACATTCAGGCATTTGGGGAAAATGTCTGTTTTCTTTACATCGCATTGTAGGCTATACAACGACGTGTTTACGATTATGAACGATTCAACAGAACATGGAGTGAGTACAAGAAAGGGTTTGGCTCAACAGGAACGGGATACTGGCTGGGTAGGCTTAGTGGTCTTTAATCAGTATTGGTATATTTGGTTTTTTAATTATTCATGCCGTCAAACTTTACGAAAATGTACAAAAATAATTTTTTTATCAAATAATAATGCGTTCGTAGACCTCAATTGTCTAGCTATGGAGCACTGAAATGAAATTCAAAAAAAAAAAAAAAAAAAAAAAAAAAAAAAAAAAATCCTTCCATTTCATGAAGTTTATAGCTTGTATTACTGATTATATCTGCAGATCATTTGAATAATTCATTTTGGAGTGACATTAATAGAGAACTTTGTTTTCTTTTTTGCTTTTTTTTTAAAATTATGGTAATACAGGTACTGTGTATAAGTATTCGGCAAGATCAATTAATTAATTTGCATAATTAAATCAATTATGAATAATTGATATTCATTAAAAAAAAAACTAATTTACACAAAATTCATTAGAAAGGCTCATCTTCCATGAAATAAGAAATTTGTCATTCAGTTTGGTTTCAATGTAAATCAATTCCGATTCAATATACCGGGTAATTCCAAATAGCTGTTTTAATTATGATTAAATAAGGAGGAATGCTACACCAAAAATTTATTTAATGGATCTTTAAGACATCTCTTTTATTAGATATCTATAGTAAGCCTTTATTGATGTCGAATTTCAAACTATGAAGCATCTTATTTGCGAATAAACAATTTTTCCATTTTCTCCGAAAAATGCAAAATAAAAAGATCAAGAGCTAATATCACTCTTTTTATGCTGGAACCATATTTCAAAAAGAGATGTCTTAAAGATCCGTTAACATTCTTTGTGCTGCGGGCCTATTTTCAGAAACTTCATTGAGTGTCATAGGCGTATTTTGGGCCCACTGTTAACTCCTGTTGCAAATAAAAGTGATTATGACGTTCCGTCATCATTCTGAGTTTCGCGCCATTTTGACCTCTTGTTGCAGAAAACAATCAATCAATTTACCATAATGATTCTAATTACTGAAAATTGTTAGAAAGAATAGGAATTTTAAACGATATTTCATTTGTCTTGATCTTAGAAAATTTAAACAATGCATTCTGATTTAAAGTTAAGAAATTTTATCAACACCTTTAATCCTTGTCTGAACGATACAAATAATCACAGTTCCGATAGGGGAAGAAGTATTTATTTATAATCTTAAACACGGGAATAATTTTCCATCAGTTACAAGAACTTGTTGTTTTGGTCGTTGTAAAAATGAAATACTAGTAGTGCAATATCATCGTAATTTCTGTATATAATTTCTTTTATCTAAAATTGGCGTTACATATTATACATTAACAATATAACATTTAAGCTTAGAATTTTTTAATCGACTATAAAACGTTCTATCCTCAGGAGCATCACAAAAGTGCTGTTTACAACTCTACAGATAAACCTTCAATTCTCGAATACATATAGTCAGTGCATGACACATTCATTAAAAAAATCAAGATATCTTCTTTTGTGGCACCTGTATTTGTGGATGGTCCTTCCTCTTCTCCAAATACACAACACCCAGTTTTGATGGGGTTTTTATGAATTATATTTACCATTGAAAAAATCATAAGGGAAATCAAAAAAAAAAAAAATAAAAAAAATAAAAAAAAAAAAAAATTCCGACTGTTTCAAGTGTATGGTATACATGTTTACATGATTAAATGGCTGATATAATTTGTGGAGGAAAACTCCCAACAAGCCCGGTGTTGTATACCGGCGAAAGGGGGGGGGGAGAATTACCTCTGTTTGTTGCTTAAAGTTCAAAAAACAAAGAAATAGTTAAGGGGAAAAAATTAAATTTTAATTTATTTTTTTTTTTTTTAGATTTTTTTGTCCATTCCAGAATGTTTTACTCATATTAGAACATCGCCAATTGCCGGAAAAGACAACTTACGTCCTACTGAGCAATTATGGCTCATTTTTGCAAGAAACGACTTTGACGTGGAACCTTTGTATGTTTATATGTTCCCATCCAATTCTTTCCCCCAGGGGTCATGATTGGAAAAAAACTTGAATCTACACTACCTGAGGATACTTCTATTATAATATGACTAATCATGGCTTTGCTGGTCTCGAGAAGAAGGGTTTTAAAGACATTTCTTATATATTGCTTTGTAGACCCTCTCTTGTGTTCCCGCCCTACCCCCCAGGGGTTATGATATGAACAAATTTGAATCCAGATTGTGTAATGAGCTTTCACATGTTTCATCTTTTCTTGTTCAGTGGTTCTTGAGAAGAAGATTTTTTAAAACATGCCACCAAATTTTCACGAATTCTTATTTAACTCCCCTTGAAAGAGAGCGTGGCACTTCCTGTGAACAAACATAAATTCCCTTCACCCAAGAATGCTTTGTGACAAGTTTGGTTGAAATTGGCCCAGTGGTTCTTGAGAAAAAGTCGAAAATGCGAAAAGTTTACAGACACAGACAAGTTTACCGGACACTCCTTGATCAGAAAAGCTCACTTGAGACGAAGGCTCAAGTGAGCTAAAAATATAACTGACTATTACGTGATCAACCAGGTCATTTGATATCACAAGAAATATGTTAATATGTAGTTGAGAGGTCCCTTTGTGCAAACTGTCTGTATTAACGTTCATAGCCTTCATATTGAAATAAACACCGAGCTGGATACATATTGATGTATATTGAATGCAAGTTAAAGTATAGGGCAGCTTTAACATAGCTGTGCAACCTTATATTAATGGAAAATGACTTCATAATTATATGTCAATACAATAAATAAAAAATTTGAAAATAACATTTGAATATATTGATTCTAGGAAATGACCTCATTCACAATCTGACTGTTGAAAAAGCAACTTCATTGTATGTTTCCATAACGTTGACTGCTGGAGCAACACTATATGAACGATATGACCAGTTCTACATCACAGTCGAGGCTGATGGTTACAGAATCCAGCTGACAGGAAACACAACAGGAAGTCTTGGTAAGGGCAAGTTTGCAAACAATTTGTTGTTTGAAAGCTTCAATGAAGAGGTTGTATTAACTTGGTGTATGTAACATAAATATCTACGGAGGCTTCCGTAAATATCAATGGAAAACCTACTTTTTATACGATGTACAATATACTGTGTTGTTGAATTATTTCAGGTTGTTACAAATAAATTTGCACGCGTTGAACACATTACATCAAATCAAAATGAATTCATACAATTTTTTTGGCGAATCTTCAGATTTGTTGTGAGTCCTAACCTCTATCTTTTTTTGAAATAAACTTTACGTCTATGAAAGGTACAAAAACAGCATGATAGGTTTTATACAATATTCTCCTCGACCAATGAAATTTAAAGATTTTTATCAAAGACAGGAAAAGCCTTCTTTTCATACTCGATTTTTACCCCATTAAGGTAGTTTATTACAGGGTATATTATGAGAAAAATTGAAAAAAAAAATCTGCAAATTTACAAATATATGTCAATAAACAGGTATACGTACCGAAGGTGCATTAATTAACTTGAAATAGTATTTGAGAGCACTCATCATCCATTATTGTTGTATTTTTGGGGAAATTATAAATATATGCAGTGATATATAAGGTTTGTGTATATCCCACGATTCTTGGGAAAATAATTATATTCATTTGATGACTCGAAATAAAATTATAAAATTATAAAAGTATATGATTGCACAATTCAAATGAAGTATTTAAGTGTTTGGGTTTTACCAATAACTTACGTTAAACTTATTGCGCAACATCGGCATGTTTTGATATAAGGCTTGATTCATGCAATTTTGTTGTCACAAAAGGCACTTGGCAGCGCCGTTCGTAAACAAAAATCGCATGAATAGCCAAAGTAGAAGAGATGCGAGCGTGGATACATATGAAAGATATATATATATATATATATATATATATATATATATATATATATATATATATATATATATATATATATATATATATATATATATATATATATATATATATATATATATATATATATACGGGTATGTTAAGGTGTTAAGGCAGCACACAGATCAGAATTCGGCGAATTTAGACTTTTTTTGTAAAATGTAACATTGATAAATCTGAAAAGTCACGGACAAACATTTACTATCATAATCCATTCAATAGACTTCAATGAGGCTTAGACTAAAGAAAGCACTCCACCACGACGTCATCATGTGACGTCTATAAGTAGAAAAAAAAATGATTTAATGAGAAAGTGGAAGGTTCAACACTATCCCGGGGATAATTAATTTCTATTTGTAAAAATATTAATGTAAAATTATCTCTGGTTCATGAAAAGTGCTGCTAGAATCTTACACTCCTATCACAGAAATAATTGTTCCACACTTTCGGATAAAACCGTACCAAATTTTTTACAGTTTGTACATAAGATCGAAAAAAAATTCATCAATTCCCGTTAATTAACCACACGATTCTAGCAGCATTTTCCAAGAACTATAGAATAAGAGCTTTCGATAGAAACAAAAATTATGTTTCAAACTATGCGGCGTAGTGTTGAACTTTTGCATCTTTGTTGAAAAGAACGACAGAGGAAGGGCTGATCGGGATGTAAAAACCTGTCTGCATTCATTATGCCAAGAAATTGTAAAAATAAATCAGCGTACCTTATTCATAAGCTTTAATTCCGCAGGAATCAAACATGATCTTAATGTTAAATGCTTTGAAACTCCGATTTCCTATGTTTGTTTACATGAAATTTTTGTTACGTTTCATTTTCACTCTGCAAATATTGATCAACAGTTATGGCGTCATGGGATTGGTATTTTACCCCTGCAACAAATACATAGCTATTTATACCACCCAGAAACGACAAGATTTTGTTTATATTTAGCTTTTGTATGGTTCCATTCATTTCTAGGACTCCAAATCAATCTTTAAATATAGATTTTAAGAAATCTTCATCTCTAAAGTTCACGTCATATAGCTTACTATGACGTCATATTGTATAGGTAAGCACATTATCTTGGTGTACCCTTAACATACCCGCATATATATTTATTCATATACCGCAAATTATATTGTAAAAGAGCCCAAACCATTCATTTATTCATATACAGTCGCACATTGTAAAAGATCCCAAAACCTGTCTAAGGATGAGCTTATGAATGTAATGTTTTAACTGATTCGCGTATGTTTCACATATCTTTCGACTTAATCTACAAAATATTTGAAAATGAACATGTTATTTCCTAAAATATGTACACAAATATAAGCACAGTTACGTTTCGAAAAAGAGATGGCTATTGAATGTGCCCCTGTGTGTAATACTGTAGAGTCTGTGTGCCTGTCTAAGGATGAGCTTATGAATTTAATATTTTAACTGAATTTCCGTGTTTTTCACATGTCTTTCAACTTAATGTACAAAAATATTGGAAAATAAACACTTATTTCCTAAAATATGTACATAAATATAAGACAGTTATTTTGCGCCAGGATTTTCCATAAGAAAACAGGATTTATTAGATTTAAAAAAATAATTTTAAAAAAGGGTATAAAGCAGGCATCAGAGAAATGCACAAATGTGAGAAAATAATTGATAAAAATAATTATTATTTATATGCTATTGTTGATTTTTTTCAAAGGCGTTAATGAATCGTAAAACTGAATTTTAGGAGACAGTATGAGAGTCTCGTGGCCTAACTGGAACATCAATGGAATGAAATTCTCGACATTTGATCGAGACAACGACATGTGGACAGGAGGAGTATGTGGACATCGGGAGGGAGGGTGGTGGTTTAACGAATGTGGACTGACGTTTCTGAATTCAGACCCTATCCAGAATGTACTCTGGGACCCAGTTTTGTCCAGTAAAACACAAGTCCGTGAAACAATGATGATGATTAAATGATAAAAAACAAACTGTCTCTAAAATTAGAGCACATATGCTTGTTGTAAAATGCATGCATGAGTGATAAAGTAATTAAATTATGAATATTATAAAAGTAGAAGGACTTGTATGAATTTTAAAGGCGGATTCCGCCTGGGATATGGGTGGAAACAACAGGAATTGGCAAATTCCAGGCGTACTTAAGGCGGAGACTGACTTTTGAAAATTTACGCCTGAGTAGAAGAGGTGTCTTCCAGGCGTCATTTCTACTTAACTGGCTTCAGTTTGCAAGCTCAGATTCTCCTAGCGTAAAAATGGCAGGAAAATTGAAACAAAAATTATGCCTGGAACTTTATTGAGGAGTAAAAGCCTCTGATTGGTCAATTTAATTATCAATTAAGGGTCATTTCAGATAAGAGGCTAAGTTTGAATTTCATCAGGAAGGAGGGAATTTAGTGTGAGTGAAATAGGATATACAGATATATTAATGTTAAGGCTTTTACACTTGGTTCTGGATGACACAGTATCTGCTGGTAGCTGTGATAATCTGGTACCTATCAGAGTAAATTTGAGTGTACAATGATTGTTATTGACTCTTTAAATATTCTGAGTTTCCTTGAACACATTATGAGATATGACATAGAGGCACTGAAACTGTAATTTAGTACCGAGAAAATGAACTGTATAAAGTAATTTGTTTGATTCAGTGTCATGAAGTGATATAAGTATTTTAAAAAGGTTATCAAATTCTTAGACATTATTTTATATTTAAACAGCTTTCATAAATTGTATTTCTATTCTAGTTTAGATGTTAATAACTTGTCATTATGTTTGCTTACAGTTCAAAAAGCTGAAATGTCAGCTCTAACATTGCAAATCATAATTCTGCTTTTCTTGGCAAAACAGGTTTTTTGGTCGTAATATTATATATTAATAGTGACTTTCCAGGCGTAATGTGCTTCAGGCATCATTCTAGTTTTCAGGCGTAATTTTTAAAAAAAATTTTTTTCCAGGCGTCATTTACTTTTCCGTGCTTAGCTCATTTGCAATTTTCGCCTCGAATTCCTGCTCAATGCCATTTGTTTTCTTCTTGATTTATGCCCGGAAAGGGTATATCATCATATATGTTAGTGAGAGAAACTGACACCCGGAATCCTTCTCCAAGTGCGTCTCTATTCCCCCTTTATTCCAGGCAGAACATATCATACAGGGGGTTTTGGGGTTCCTCCCATAACAAGGGGTTGAGGCGGGATACCAGAATAACTGGGAGATTACTAGTATATTATTATAAGTGGGGAAATTCTTCGACACCAGATCTTAGGGACAACGTTAACCCTGGCTCTTACATGTATATCAAACTTGATAACGTCCAGTACCTTTCCTGGAAAGTGCTTAGAGTCCATTAGTGTCTGGGTCTGTCATGTATTGATTTCTGAACATTTGTAAGAAACAGAATTAATGCAAATCTTAAAATTATTTGCTCATTCATTTGGACTAATGATGAAAGCTTACTTACATACCGTTGTGGACTTTCATTATACTTAGACTTTTTTCCATGAAGATAATATTCCCAGTTCAATGAAAAGATTTCTATCCTTAAAGACGAGTTTAAATAGTTCAAGCAATAATACATGGTTACAAATTAAAGGAAAATTGTTGCATTAGAGTGATAGCCAAATTTTTGGATGATTTCAGAGAGGAAATGTTTAATGAACGCTTAGATATTTTCATTCTTATAACAAAATAAATAAAGAAAAAATGCATGAATAAATAAGAAATCATGAGAAAATACGAAAATGTTTTTTTTATCGCTTTACCTTCATTATCATTGGTGCAGTAATAATTGACAGTTTTATTATTATTATTATTATTATTATTATTATTTATTCTATTTTTTTTTTTTTTCACTCAGGTTGATTTTGCAAAACATGTATCATTATCTTCAAATAGATATTTGGGGCGGGCAGCTGATCTCGTGACTTTTAATATCTTTACAATTTATGGTAATTTTCACATAATAAGTCTAAAATGATGATTGGAAGAATATAAACTTCTTAATTTAACACCATCGAAGACACGCATCTGCATATTATATTTGAACTCTAGATTTACTTGAGTACTAGGCAGACGTCAGGATTTTGTAAGAGTCCGTTCCTCGTTATTGTCTTTATGCACTTGAAGCGTCTCGAGTAGGGTTACATGTTTTGTTAACCCTGATCTTTGACCGGTGTTCCTGGTTTGTGGAATATTGTCTTGAAGATACTATCTTCTCTCTTAGCTTGGAGTATTGTTGAGATCATTTGTTAGGGACATATTATAGATGTCAATAATACTATGGACTTCACCAAGATCAGCTTGGGAAATGCTCTCAGTGAGGGATGATTCTAAGAAAGATATCCCAAGAAAGACAGAGTGACATCAGTTGTTTAGAACACCGCTTTGTAATTTTCTTGAAAGCTTTTGGAGATTTGCCCTATGGTAGGCGTGACATTAATCTGAAAACCTTTAGGTATAATGTCACACTCTAAATAGGTATGTAAATTAGAGACCAGGTGTTCAGTTTTGATTGATTTTTGGTGTTGTTTCTTCAGAAGTTTGAATGTTGGATGTTTTGTAGTTAAAAGTGTTTATAATTAGCATAATTTTCTTTTCTTTAAAAATCTTTTTAATGGGGTGCGCCGATACACCCTTGGAATCTTTTTTTTACACCTACGACTGTGATGAAGGTCATTTATAACAGCGGTCTCTGGCTCCAAGTGTCGGAAACTGAAAACTTATCATTTTATCTCTTGTCAATCCTAGCTAGGCTGCTAAATAAAGCCTTAGAATAACGACTGAGTTTTGATAATGAAAAAATGGTTAATATTTTGTGGGTACAAATAATACCCTTGGCTTTTTTTTTCGTTAGAAAATCTAAATTTTTGTAAACAGTGTGTTGATTTTACAGTCTATTCATGAAAATCACATTTAAAAAGTATAGAAATAAATCATGAAAAATTATATATTGTTTATTAAATCATGCAGATTAATTTTTAGTTATTCAGGATATTTCAGTTTTCATATCTGAATATGTATATAACTACATTGTATGTATATTTAAGTGTCGCGACACAGAAATACTTTTAAATGTTATTTCCCTCTTTTTGTTTTTATGACAAACAGCGAGTTTTTTTTTTCTTCGGAAATCAATTTGGTTTAATACAAGGAATAATTCATCAATTAATTAAAAGAATTGACTTAATTGAATTAATTTGAACTGTTTTTTTTTTTTTTTAAACATTTCCAAAGGGACACCGTGCAGACATCATATCAAATGCCCTTCCACTCACTTCCATGATCAAACACTACATAACCAGTCATGTTTTTTTTTTCTTTCTGTTTCTGGTTTTAATGAAAGCAAACATAAAGAACACGATTTCAAAGACGAAAATGTAAATTTATTCCTCAAGGACTGTGAGCACGTACTCTTCATGCATTTCTAAGAAATGGTTACGATTCAGGTATCATTTATTTAAATGCTTGGGCATTTAAACATCTTACTTTAAATCATGTTTACATATTAATATATCATATACGTGCTTTTTTCAGCCTTTCTAAGTTTTTTCTTATTTAAATATTTCGGATTTCCAACGTTTCGGCATGGGCATCACTGAAGAGACATAATTTTTTCAAAGGCGCATCTGGTACAACAAAATGGTACCTTATAACTGCATAAGAATTACATTATGACCCCTGGGTCGAGGCCTTTGTCGGTGGACTGTTAGTTCCCGAGGGTCTCTAAAGCTCAGTAGCTAAAAATATCAGTATTAGCTTAAAAATATGGATATATATTTGATTGCTGTTAAAATTTTAAAATTTATTTCAAAATCAAAGATTATCTCCCTCAGGTATAGCTCTGATCCTTCGACGAATTTATACTCCAGTCTTTGGTACCCTTTTTCAGCTCTTCAAAGTTTTTTTTTTATTATTATTTAAATATTCCGGATTTCCAACGTTTCTGCATGAGCATAATTTGGTGGAATGCGCATCTTGAGCATAGAAATTGGTACCGTATAAGATTTACATTATTCGGATAAGTTATGTAATAAAATGTCGGTAGGCAGCATAATATGATTTAGTGCAGTATTCTTCTAGTCCAATGAAATGTCAAGATTTTTATCAGAGGCAGGATAAAGTATACTGTTTGTATTTTAAGAGTGAAAATAAAAAAAAAAATGGGAACAACAAAATAAAATTTCGTGGTAATGTTTAAATCATTTTTTCTCTTTAAAAATAAAGATGATCAGAAAATATATTCAACTGAATTATGTATAGGCCTAGAAATTTTTAGGGCATTGAGTTCCATACACTATCGAAGCGATCCTAGCTTTTTATATTTTTTTTTTCAAGCGAAAATTCATTAGGACCCCCCTCTTCTCTTGATATTACCAGTTTGAAATAAACAATTTTGAAACAACGTGTCATTTAAAGTTCAGTTATTACCAAAAATCGATTAAATGATAAATATATAATTCACATACATTGACAGCGCAGCTATGTTAAGGCTGTCCGAAGGCTTAATATGCATTAGATATATACTATTTTTTGAGCTATGTTTTGATTTTAATTTGTAATCTATGTATACATACATAGTTAAGTTGTAAAGAGAGTTGAATAAGGTATTATAAAAAAGGATTTCTGTGATGTCACATGACTTGGTTCATCACGTGACGGACACATACATTTTCTTAAATGTTTCCTTAAAATTCGCATCGGCACATGTGAAAAACAAAATTATTGTGAACGGCTTGTTACATAAATCAATTAAACGTATTCTTAGGTATATATAAAGTGCTGGGGGCAAGTCTGAATTTTATTTCTTAAGAAAATATTTCACGAGAAATTCAACTTACCCACATACAAGGGGTCATTTTCAACTCTTCATCGTAATTTATACAAAATGGGATAAATTACATACAATCCCCCAGCAAAATTCAGTTAGAGGACATATTTCTCTAGTAGATTCACACAGAATATCTTCA